ATAGATATATGTCTAATTTTGTATTTTGTTATCTATTGCTTTTTTGTTGAAAGAAACCGTGGCTTTATGCTTTCGATGTATTAGGGCGATATCATCCCACAGTTATGTTTTGATAATGACACACCGAGTCAAATATACTATATAATTGCAACAACGTATCCGCATCTTCTTCCCCGTTATATAAACCTGGAACGCAGATTTTATGCAAAATCAATATGATAATGATAAAAAAAATAATCAACTGATGTTTGTTTTTCAGAAAATATCACTGTTGAAATTAAAATAAGGTTTATTCGCTTATCAACATTTTAATAAAGTTAAAACTTAATATCTGTTTACTGTAAGATATATTTCTTATGGCATTAAACTAAAAAACCGATTGTAGAAAATCCAATGACTGGAAAACATACGCAATTATGCCAATGAAAGCATCAACAACTATGCAAAATCTGACAGATAAAATAAAATGGCCCATTGCAATAATAGTCAAACCAACGCCAAAAATATTTCGATTTCTCATATTTCCTGTACACCATACAAAGTTCACCCGGTTTGCTATCTGGATCATTGTCAACCCAATAAGTAAAATTGGGATCTATTGCTTTGTAACCATATGACCAAGGTCCTCCTTGAACAGATCATGTACCGTCTATCCAAACATAGTTCATTGTCAGCGACTGTGCAAGAATGGTATCATTTACGTCCATGGCTTTTAATTCTGAATCAACATGAACCGGATGACCACCATCAAGATCGACAAACGGTTTCAATGTTATCCCAGGATTTCGGGCCTGCGTAGTATTTGAAACAAAATCCATTCGTTTTAAGCTTATATTCCTCGGGACATCTTAATCAACTTTCACATACTTTATAATCCAGAACTGTTCTAAATATTCCATACCGCTCGCACATGGCAGTGTTTTCCCCGCATGTCCGTGATCTTGTTTGAACACCGACAAGTCTTTGTGTATCTGCGCTGACATCACAGTCAGACCACTTTTTCCATTCCCTACAACGATGCAAGCGACACATTTCTTCTGCTACTTCCCGAACATCAGATTCTATGTTCTTCATAGCTTTACCAATAATGCTTAGCATTGACATGTTGTAAGTTTTGCCAATATTATATAAGATATGTCCACTTATAACGTCGTTTGCTGAATTTTCTACACTCAAAACGCGTAATGCAAGCATTGCAAACTAAAACGTATATACGATCGGGATATTCATATTTTTGATCACAACACTATCTTTTTGGATGTGAATGGGTCTGCATTTTCTTCTAAAAGATAAACGTAATAGACCTTAAAAATGTGTTTGTTCTTTAGTTATACCCATACAAAATTTCCATCGGCATGCAATATTAATTGTCATCATGTTTTAAATGGTTGTTATCAGCTTTGATTAACTATAAGCAATTGCTTATTCGAAACGCTTAGGAAACGCGTCAATAAACAGAATAAATCAAAGCGATCCTGAATTACTTTCAATTTCGACTTTTCTAGTTCACGAATTTCAATAAAACGGTGCTTGTTTAATATAACTGTATTTTCCATATGTGTTTTCAATGTACTTTTCATTCAAACTAATATTACAATAAAACGTTGCATTATAAACTTTAAGTCATTTTTATTTTTAATATATTTATCTTTACGAAAACATAGTAGTACTTAAACTGCCCTTACCTTTATGATTTGAAAGTTCAGTATTTTGTTTTTGCTTTTGTCAAAATCTTTGTTTCATCTGTCTACTGCCTACTGGAATAACAAATACTGGTGATACTATTCAGTAAGGTTTTTAGATGAAACATACAGAAATGAGAAGGAAATTTATTCACATATCTGATTAAAAATTGGAGAGAAAAATAGGATGGGCTACGTGACAATGATTGCAAAAACAAACAGTATTTTAACGAACATATAATTATGAAACATGAATTAGGAAGTTTATACAATTTGCTTATACATGTTGACAACGTTTTCGAATATATAATAATATTTATTTTTACATTTTCTATATTTTACAATACATATTTCGAATGCAAAATAAGTTCTTGTCCCAGTTGACCGGCATATACCGAAACAATATTATTTTTTAATGCAAGAATAGAGTAAAGACATACATTACAAATCATTTCATAATTGTTTATTAGGCATGTCATCATAAACATGCCGTTATCATTAGCCCTTATGATGACATAACGTGCAAATATATATATGCATTATGCGTGTTATTTGACGTTTAAATTCCGACAGTTTACAACTTTGTGTAACAGATCACTTTGTTTCATATACATGTACCACAATTACTCAAAGACATATACAGCTATTTTCAATAATATCCTCGGACTTAATACGGTTTGAATTATAGATGTTTACAAAAACAGATGATTAATGTTTGATACTGTATTGCTAGGTATTGAATTGTATTAAAACATCAGTACATCTGATTACAAATAATATTTGTAAATAGTATCAAAATTTAGACAATAGCCCGTTTGATAATTTTACATTGTAACTCAAAGAAAAGGAGAAAGAGAAGAATAAATATTCAATTGAACACACATAGAGGCTACATATGTCAGTAAAATAAATCTGGTAACAAAGTGATCCCTCGTTACATGAAAATTGCAGACTCGGTTTAATTGAGTCTGTACTTGGGGGATAATGAATGAGTGCAACATCCCTCATGCCCCTAGAACCGCCTTGAGTGGTACTTTATTCTCTACACTAAATAGTGCTGGCATCAATGATTCTGAAGGACCAGAAATATATGTGTGTTTACATTTTCATACATTACCGACAATAATTTATTCCTTCCTAATCGATAGTATTTTTCACATTAAAATATTTAGAATTAATGTTTCGCCTTATCTTCTTATTCTCATAATGAACTCAAGCCTACATGCCGGTGCGAGTATCGATAAAATGCATCATGTCAAACACGTGAAAAATACAAAAGATAGACTTAAACGTTAAAACACATCATGCAATAAGTACTGGAATTAATTTTAGGAAACTTTGGTTAAAAAAATGCAATCTTATTTTATTAATATAATTAGATTATCCGTGATCAGACATTTGTTTTGAACATAGCGGTCAAATGCCGAAACTTTAGAAACACGACGTCATAGGCGATGCTAAAATTATCATGCATTTTAAATTGTATAACGCGCGCATTCTGCACGACAATTTAATCGTTACATTATTATAATTACCGCCTTGCAGTTTAATTTAACAATAGTAAATGACAAACATGATAAAGGGCAGGGCACTAAATATTGACGGAGTGCATTTTGATTTCTAATTTTGTTTCTCGTGGATAAATCAAATGGCAAAACAGCAGTATAAAACAGCATCATTATTACATTATAAATTGAAGGAAACATGTAAACAGGTATTTACACTGACCAAATAAATCAAAATGTAATTGTTATCTGTAATTTGTTGTAAAACAGATAATAATAATGTACATGCTCTAGAAATCATGATCGTCTGAACATTTCCAAAAGTGATTCTTGGTCATTTCCTTAAAATCATTAAAATTACTTTTGATTCTTAAACAAATAAGTTTCTTCTTTTTGCTTATATGTTTTTATTTACAATAAACCAAAATAAACATCGGAGTCGCGAAAATATGTGACAATTGAAAAGCAATCTGTTTTCTGCAAAAACATTCACAATTATTGTTAGAGTACTAGGCTTATTCAAAAGTAACGGAATCTAATTTATGATTATTTTGACAATGGTTCCAACTTGCGATAGAATCAAGAAGCTTAAACTAAAAATTGTTTGAAATACAGAATTCACGACCAACTCGTCTTTAAGACGATGTCTCTTACTAATTACTCATTAGTAGTTATCATAATATTGAACAATATCTTAAATGTACTAAAGCTTATCTATTTGCTATATATTTTTAGCTCCTTGAAATTTTATTTGGACAAGAGGAATTTAAATATAAGGAAATTTATATAGGAACGTGTAATTTAATTACCGTCGTAACAGATATTAAAGACTATATTGTCTATGTTTATTCCTGAAAGTTTTTCTTGAATTCAAACAAATACGTATTGCTTTATCCATGCCTGTCGTGTTCAACATTCTGAACTTCAAAATCACACCGACAAAAGTCGGCAACATCATCACATCGCATGTATCGGGACGTCATACAGTTGAATCGCTTAGGACAGTGTTTAATAAGTATTCGGTAGATATAAAATTTTATTGATATGTGAAGATTTTTACACTGGATTATCGGATTAACAAATTTACGGTATGTAGAGTTACTACTTTGATATTAGGACAGAGTGGCGCTAATTGGGGCAGCATAGTTAAGTCGAGCTTTATAAGAATAATATGACAGAGGCGCGAACAACAGCACGCTAATAAGCGTCCAATAACAAGATATATTTCGCTTAGCGGTCCCAACGCATAACAATTAAATTTCGACTTTTCGCCGCGCGCCCCGCTAAGTCGCGTATTTTCGAATCGCGCCCCCGCCTTTTTAACTTGTTAATTCTCGAAATTTCGCTTCGCGGGGTCATGGAGCCACCATAGTTAAAGGTTATTATACATATTTCTAATGTGCACTTGTCATAATAAACAGACTTTACTACATGACCCCGAAATATTTCAACAGGGTTATCAGTTAATACAAAAGAGGAGACAATCATCATTTTAGACTTGTTAAAAAGTATTGTTACATATTGAAACAAGGTAAATAATTTGTACGACAGAAAGAGTAATATTTGATTAACTTGTCAACAAAAATATGTTTTCGCATTTATGTCTAATAAACAAAAAGCTTACATCGTCATGAAATCATAATTACCTTGAAGTTAAATGATGTAACTATTTAAAAATTATTTCTCAACTTTCTTTAGCTAAAGTCTCCTTTTGGTTTATGATTTTATAGTTAACATGAATACATATGATAATCCTTGATACGCTTCAGTAAAACATAACCATTACGACCGTTGGAGTGATTATGTTACAAAATGTTAAAGGATGTTTTTACGGTTTTAAAAGAAAAATAATCCTATTCAGCATTAGGAATATGACAAGGATGTACGTGCTATATAAAGGATTGCAACAGGTTAAGTTTACCAAGAAGAAGTGAGCTCAGCTTTAAAAGGACGTATATCATCAAAGAGGTAAGCACTTTTAAGATAAGTCTGAAATGTTCTGCATTACAATTATCAATATTTATATTTATACTTAATCAATATAAAATGTCAAGAGATCTAAATACCTCATTTTGCAAAATAAATGGTTTAATTAAATATCAATGTTGAGGATTGAGATCAAGATTAAAAAGATTTGTCTGTTATTGACATAACGCCTCCTGTCAATCAAGCTGGCAGGGGTCTTACAGAAAAGCCGATCGGCAATCGTTTTCAGTTTCACGCTAAGATGTCTGCAAAGTCCGCCATTTTACTTATACACTCTATTTGTATAAGACAATGGTGCAGACGTATTTATATTGAAATTATTTTGATTTTTTTTCGAATTTAAAGCTATTGGATCGGTATATCTAAGTTAACAAATATCCTGACATATTGACAGATGGAGTCAGTTAGAAAAACAAAATAAAAAAAACCCATTAACTTTAAATACATCTGCTTCAATAACATCATATCTGATAACGGCGATATCTCAGCGTTTGATATAATTATGCAAAATTTATTTTGAAGTGAATTATATTGCGTTTTATCACGAAACATATCTTATGTACAAATTTACATATAATCATATATCATACTACAAACTTACGCAATGGCAATTTTGTCGCTCAATTTTAACAATTTATGCAAATAAGCATTATTTACATGTATTAGTGATTTCGCACATGAAACTCAAAAACATTTGTAAATGTTACTGTGTTTTTAATATAATTTTACTATTTATATGTTCCTCTATTTCAATTTAAACTTTCAATTTGTAAACTAAAATGATATTTTGTCATTAACATCTTACTTGAAGTCAACGAGAAATTTAACAAGATCTTTGCCAAACGTTTTATTCATCATGAATGCAGTTATTTGTTACTTTTTTAAATACCATAATACATTGAACTATTCATGAAAAGCATTAGAATTTTTATATAATTATTATTTCAAATTATATAAGGTTAATTCATTAATCACTCTAGTGGCATAATAGTTTCCCGTAAACGTCGGTACCGTGTTTTGTCTAAGGTTCTGAATGACCGGGTCACGTGAATCAGTGGGCGGAGCAATCTCTTCTCTGGCGTTATGTCAATTATCATTATCAAAGCAATTAAAATCGTTGACAGAATATAACATAACTTAAAACTCATTCCTTTAAATTTTGATATTTCTTAGCCTAAATTCAAATAAAAAAAATCAGAAAATGATATACACGTTTATTGATGAAATAGATAAAATAATCTACGGAAAATTCTCATATTGTTATGTATATTCATTATAGCAAACAGCGCATAGGCAATCGGGTTGGTCTTTTAGCTCATTAACTCGAGTTACACGGGTTACGTTATCTCAAGGTTTTTAATGTAAGGTATCTACTGTATGTTGTACTTAAACGACTGCGTACAGCTATGTTTTTTCTCAAGCATGTTTACTATAAAATTGATTTAATATTTCCAGATAAGTTATTTTATTTAAATAATTTGTTTACAAAGAAATAACTCATGTTTTCTTTACAAATGAACATTTGTTTGTTAATTTTTTCAATTTTGAAATTATCGGAAATTTATTATTGCTATTCAGCAGAAATGGAACAACTTCCTAATGCACTATATGCATTTTCTTATCGGATCCACTGGAAGACGTAGTAACATCCCAGTACTTACATAAATAGCGGTGAATGTGAATATTACGTTTGATGATTGTGTTATTAGTGTCAGGTGAATGACTGCCTAGATGGTATTTAATTTAAGAAATGATTTAGCAATAAATACTAGAATCAATTTCCAAGATATGGGGACTGGGCAGCACCGCCTGACTTAAGATTGAAATATTCTCAGTTGGAGAACTAGCATGTAATTGTGTAGGTAACACTATTTTTTTAGGTATTTCTATCTTTTTCTATCTCAAATCATAATATACATTTAAACAACAAACTCTGACTATTATTTACACCCAAAAAAAGAACTCTGATCATTATTTACACCCAAAACAAACAAACATCATTTATCAACCACTTATACGAAATATCTTTTCACGTACATTGACGTATACGTCTTTTATACGAAACAATACTAAAGACATGGCGACCCCAAGCTCTAAACACTTTATGACCAAACAAAACAATAAAATCACCACAAAATGAAGAACAGAAAAATGAATATTTTTACAACTCTAAGATACAGTATAAACCACAAACATTCATCCAACATATAAACTTCACACAATCTAATCAGCATCAGGAAACAACTTAAACTAAAGCACCAAATATTTACATATATCCTCAAAACAAAGCATCAACTTATATAATCTTGACCAGACAAAATAAACCAATTTCAACGAAGTATATCTTATCAAACAGATATAACTCAACAACCAAAACAACTAATTACAACCAATAAACCCTGATCAATTAAGATCACAACAATTATATTCAACCAACTTCGACAAATCAACAAAACTCCCTTCAAATCGACAAATTATCTTCTCAACAAAAAAATAAACGCTACACATTATCAGTGTGTCTCTCTTAAACTGATGTAAAATCTATCTCAAAACTCGCATATTTCCTGTTAATATACCGATTTGACATTTAAACAGTTATATACGCACAGCGACTGGTTTACACTCCATTTAAAACAATGTATCACTGTAAAGAAATATTAACCCGTTGTTTCATCTACAACAATATATCACTGTAGGGAAATATTAACTCGTTGTAAGATATATATCTACATATAAACTTTATGATTATTCTGACAATAAGGTAGAAAAATATTACATTACATTTATGCACTATGAAATCCATTTCTGTACAAGACAAAATAAAGTACTGATAAAAATATATAAAAAAGTGATATAATGCTTATTATAACTGAAAAAAGAAAATTATACAAAACGTACATAAAATATTACAAGACTGCAAATTGGACGTTACACGACATTTATAGCAATTTCCATGTGTCACAAAAATTATGTATTATTCTTTTATAGAAAGATAGCAAATTGAATACAAATATCGAAAAATGTTCAGTTAATTTGACTTTTACATTTACACTTGGGTGGGCATAACGGGCACTATAATGAACTGAAAAAGTGACAATATCGGTCAAATATTTACGTTCAAGGACACCTGTATGCAAACTTTACCGTACGAATTCGAGTTATGGCCACTTTTCTGAATTTTATCTTGGATGTCAGAAGGACCCTTTTCAGAAATAATGGACCTTTAAGTCTTCTACAAAATCATCCTGTCGAAAAATGTTTTACCATTAATTTTTGGTAAGAAATAAAATGTAACCTTCAGCTAACAATCTACATCAGCAGAATAATTGTTCGTACTCATAATGTATGGAATATGTATAAAAATGTAACCCTACCCCACCTATTTTTAACACGTGTTTGACCAATCTCCTAATTAGAGAGCCTAGTTAAAAATAATCCCTTAAAATACTAAACTGAGTGCCTGTTTTCAAAGTTTTCCTTTTTCTTCAAAATTGTATTGGTTGATCTTATGAAATATTAAATACTTTTACCATCTAGTTTTGATTTTATTGCACTTTGAAAAATACCAGGTATCATATTTGTTATTAGATTGATAAATGTTTAGACAGTAGATACCTATATTATTTAAATAATTAAAGTAAAACACTTATTTTCTTTCCAAAAGGGATATAAGAAATACACAAATAATTGTAAATGAAAAAAAGTTGACCCTTCTTGGGTTTGAACCCACGGCCCTAAGTTTCAATGTATTTAAAAGTAGTTCTAGCCTATTTGAATACTCAGTCTTCAAAGCGGAGGTAAGGTCATACCTTAAACGTTTGTCTAGCACTCCTTCTGAACAACCGTTATCTAGACTTTTGTTCTGGATGCCTTTGACGACCAAAATATTTTTCTTCTTTTTTTCAGAGGAAAAGAGACTTATTATCTATAACGCCTAAATGATGCAAATGTTCCTAAAGAGATCACTGGGGGTATTGCTTCTTTGTACGCAGATCCCTATTATTGAATCAACAACAAATCCTGACGGAAACGAAACATTTGATGGACAGTACCTGCTAAAAATGGGCAATAAAATTGGATCTCCCGAACTACAAATGATTGGGAGGACAATATTGAACCTAGAATCTAAAATGAAAAGTACGATTAGATCTGAAGTGATCCAAGATCTTTGTCGACTACATAATTGCACTGATTGGGGTGTATGGTCAAAATGCGATGTGGCACTTAATGGGTTTGGGAGCCGTAAACGCAGTAGAGAGTGTGGATTCAAAACGGTTCCTTGTAATCGAGAAGACTTACTGAAAACTGAGTATGATTTTGAAATTTGCGACAAAAACTGTCAAAATGAATACACAAAAACCGAGAGCGGGCTCTGTCTTAGAATGCATAAGAGAAGTTTGAATCGCAATTGTGCCGAAAGTGAGTGTCAAATGGATAAAGGACATCTCGTACAGATAAATTCCGAAAGAACAATTAAAGATGTTAATAAATTCATCGCTGAAAAATACGGGAAAAACTTTGGGTCTTGGTGGATAGACGGTCTAAGAGCAGAGCAAGGTGGTTCGTGGCAATTCGGGTACGAGACAGAAAATAAAAATTTCACAGCCTGGGGGGATAATGAGCCAACAAATGGTCCTCAGGACTTTTGCCTGCGTTATGACCATATGTCGTACAAGGGAGGTTTAGAATGGCGTATGAATGATGAAATGTGCAGCAAAACTGCTTGGTTTATATGCCAAACTATTGCTTGAAGCCATACATTTCTTCAAGCTGGCTTATTTATAATATCTTTGTAAAAGAAATCTATGTGCATGAGAAATGTGTTTTCACAATTTCATTGACATTATGATAAGATTTAATCAGTTTTAGTGTTAACAAGTCACACAATAATATGTATTATTGTATCGTTTGTTTTGTTCCATTTATATTCCTTGAACAATACTGAAATAATTAAACTGCTTAACATGTAAGATACACTTGACCGACCGGTTAAAATATATATAATGATACAAAATACAGACATCTGATAAAATGTATAAGTATGAAATTATATTTTTTTGTATCACCGATCTATTTTCCAATCATGCAACACTTACTATGTACGCAATGCAAAATATTATTTGACATTTTTAGTAATAAAGTGGTTTTATTATGTTTATACGAAATAGTGAAAATTATTGGTTTGAAGTTACAATGAGAACGTTTTCAGTGTTGTTATCATAATTAAATAAGACTTAAAAATAGATACAAAGAAAAACAAAAATCTTTAAATATATATTTTAATATGTTAAGTCCCTATCATAGATAAAACGATTACATACTTTAATATGATGTAATTTAACTAAGTAATTGCCTGCGTTAAAAAACGTTTTTGATAATATGCATTAGCATGGTAACAACTGTTTTATATTTCCTTTTTAAAAGAAACATGACCAAATAGGGCCGTATTTTCTGAAATAAGAAGCTACTAATTATGCTTTATCATGAAATTTTATGTTAATTTTGCTCTGCGTTAATTATGGCATGTTAAACGTTGCAAAATTAAATAAATTTATCTGTTGGTCTATATCCAATATGTATATCGTAAAACTCTAATGTTATATTCTTTACCATAATATTTATTCAATCCTACTGAAAATTGGTTCATCAGAAAAAAATATTTGTGTGGAATAATTTTCTATATGAATGTTCTACATTTGAAAAATTATATTGTATTATTAAAACTATGTATTGTATACTGAAAAATATTGCACAATAATAATAGCTTATTGAACCCCGCCCATAAAAAGTAAGCACAGATTTCTGATAAAGCGTAATCATCATTGTCAAAGTAGACTATAGAGTATCGGAAATGATCGGTGTCCAACTTAATGTCACTTGTAAATAGTTCATATGTTTAAGCCTCCTTATAAATATGTATTTATGTCTAAAAATGGAAAAGTATTTTCTTCAGGACATACAATCGTATAATTATAATTTTCAATATGCCTAAACACGATATAAACCTATGTGAGGATATCATGTAAGATGACTAAAGGATAGTTAAATACTCATATACTCCTTTTCATATTAAAGATATATGTGGAATGACATATGAGGACCGAGAGATCATCTTCATGAACATGTACTCTAGTTGTTTATGGAAGATGTATGAGGGGATAATGTGAGATCAGCAGGGGATCATTTAGATGAACATTTACATAAGATTTTATAAAACATATATGAGGTGATTAGGTAAGCTGAGGGGATATGGTAGTCGGATTTGGATGATCACTCTGAAAAGGTATTCTTCGAGATCAATTATGTTACTTAAGAATTAAAGTTATGAACAGCTATATCAATTTGCATGAACCATTCATATTCTAGAACAATGACGAGCATGATCTTCTAGTCATCTAACGTGAACCCTTAAAAAGATCAATGGAAACTAAAGTATATGAACAACTTTGGAGTCTTCCACGAACCCCTCATACATAATTCTAAAATGAATAGAGAATGTACATCCAGATACCCCCTCTGGTCGTCTTACCTGATTACATTTATACTTGTGAATACTATTGTATAAACATACTTATTTGAATTTTATCTGCCAAATTTGACGTTTGATTATACTTTATAATTGACATGCACGTATTACTAACTTTTTGTCGAAAAAATTTGATATTAACATACTGTACAAAGTTTAAAATTGTTATGCAATTTTGTATCACTAAAACAATTTGTTAAGGTTAATTGAATTTTGAATATGTTGATGTAAAGTTTCAAAAATATTAATGCAGATTTTTATATGATTTGCTGCATTTTGAATAATTTGATGTTGAAGAATATTTTTTTCTTGTTGGACGTATATTTTTAAATAAACATTTTCGCAACCGACAAATTGATCTACTAGATAAACACTTCTGCCAATGATATTTTAAAGACAGGATTAAATGATAGTTAAATATTCTGCGGAACGTTTTCAGAAACTTTTATCAATATCACCAACAACTATGAAGAGGAATGATAGTTTCTGTTTTTAACACTATTCGATATTTTTATCAAATATTAAAAAAAAATTGACAAGTTTCTAAAGTTTAGAAAACTAAATCCCTAAAGACAGGCCGAATGTCAATATTCAAAATTTTACAGGCTCTGTTTAATTTAGCCTGTATATTGATGGTACTAGTGCAATTACCATTATATCCTCCCATAGCACCGACTAAGCCACTTTCAATTGTTATCGAACCATACAACAATTGCAGATGCATGAAGTTTCTTACTTGTTTTTTTTAGTTATCACTACATCAAAATCAGTCTTTAACGGTTTGAATAAAATTAAAGTAATATAAGTCTTCTGTTTTAAGCCGTGTCTCACTAAAAGATCATTTCTTGAAGACATGTTGTTCTAAATTATCTTCAACGATTCTTTTTAGAACTTTGAGGAATTGGCGTAGATATTGATAAACTTCATAACAGGTACTTTTCTGCATATCCTTTGTGACTTAAAGATGGTATTGGTATAATACGTTTAACATTAAATGAAGATCTGTTATTTACAAACCTTGATCAGTTTAATCGAAAAGATAAGATCTATTGTATTTCGTTAACATTATAGCCATTTTGTTTCATTCAACACCTAATATTGATAATTAATTGAAACTGTTTTGAAACGGATTTAATAATTGTTTGTGAAAATTGTAGTGCTAAAATCCAAATCATATGTAATTTTACATACACAAGATGTATTTTATCACGAAAGAGTTTGTGTTGTATTGAAACATGTGCATATTTTGACGTATACGTATTCTGCTTTTATGATGTATTATCAACCAAACTAAAAGGAAAAAAAAAAAATTAACAGCAATCTGCTTCATGTCTCTGTAACACACAAACGAGTATTCTTGATCCCTTTGAATCATACCTACCTCTTTACCAACAACCACGAATGGTGTTTGTTTCACCGACAATAACACTAACCTGTAGGTTATTCTAAGAAGAAATGATGACATCGGCCGAATAAATAAGGCCAATGTCATGCAACTTTATTCATTTTAAAGGTCTGAAAGTACTTCATGTCACCTTTTTGATACATTTATCGTATAGAATGGTCCAGTTACAGCATGATCGGATACACTAGAAACTTGAACAACTTGGAATGCTGATACTGAATGAAATTGCACATATCATCTTTATAAACAAAAGGTTCTCCTTTGCTTCTTGATGATTTCGCTTCACATCTTAAATCAACCATTTTCAATTGTTTAAATGTGTTTCGTAATATTTCAGAAATAATCTGACAGTTTGTTGTTTTCTACCTATAAGTGGTCTGCTCGATTTAATTATCAAGGCGTTACTTCTGCGATTTCAGACCTTTACACAAGGCTCCAATTATTAAACCGTTACCGTTGGCCTAGTAGTTTGACCGCCTTCGGATTGGGAGGTCAAAGGTTCGTGCCCCACGGGAAGCGTTAATTGAAGGATGAATGTTTCTCATGAGACTCGTTCTGAAATGGCCTATTCGTGAGCCACGAGGTAGTTAAAATGAAGGATTACCGATATCTATCCGCCTGGCGCCTGGCATAGTGATAGGAATAGGGAGGTACATGGTATGCAAGTAAAAGGTGACTCATAAGTCAGAAATGGCTGGCCGTCTCAGTAGGGGTGACACTATAAAAACAAGACCTTTTTCATTGTTATAATTTTAAACATACTCGCAATAAAATAAAACAAATAATGAAATGTGTACTTAAGTGACCAAACATGAACATAAGTTTCGTTAACTTAAACATTTCCTCCATATATTCTGTGACTGAATTTTCCTTTTGCAATATTTCTAAAAAGGTTAAACTAAATGAATTATTTTCAATATGTAGAATCAACATTCTGTTTTGTACAAAACCATACAAATTCTCATTGGACTTATCATTTGAATATGTTTTATACATGTATACATTGTCTTTTTAATTTTCGCTCTCTATAATTCAACTCAACTCAACTAAAATAATTTTATTTCGTTAAACATACAATATATATTTATAGCACGTACAACATATCTATAGGGAAATAAATGCTTAAGTAATGTGTTCCGGGATAATCAGCAAAATATATTTTCCCATTTATTTTGTATTGGTGATGTTACATAGTCACATTACCTTATTAAATGTAAATAATCTCGCTTTGAGGCGATAGTGAGAGTAAACTGTTTTCTTTAAAATAACATAAATGCATGGGAATGTTGCCTTACATAGAAAAAGTATATTTATGTTTACATCATATGATACATCTTTCCATTTAAAAGATAAAGTTTAATATAGTACGAAGGGTTTATAATGTCTGGCTTTGCAAACTATTTTGTTAATAAAATCAGGAGAGTTGCACCCAATATGCAGGTTAAAATTGATGTTAAACATTGATACTCCGCAGAGCAAAAACAAAACTTTAGAGAGCTGACATAGGGTAATAATTCCCAAATCTTTTAAACCTCAGACAAATCGCATTGTACCTGTCCGTTCTACGGATATATGATATACCACTATCATTTTAAATGGGTTCTAAGGATAACGTAGAAATGGTTGTTCGGAGTTATTTGATAAAAACACACATCTTACTTTTAAATAGGTCAATATAACAGTAATTTAAGCAGATTACAAAAACCTTTTAATTGTAGACAGTCAATATGTTTTTAAATTCGAAATAGAAGGGTTAACAAATAACACAAATGTCTGATAAGTTTTAGATTCATGCTTTCATACTTATTATTGAGAATATAGAGTAGAGAGAAAAAATACATCCAATATTAATTTGCATACAATAAAAAATATAATAATGGGCTATATAACATATTACATTTATCTGTAAATTATTCATCTTACTGTTAAGAGCATAAATATGTTTATCAAATAACTACCGTACTCGTTTGATTATTTCAGTAAAATATAAAACTTTTAAAAAATCGATAAGCATATGTTGTACTTAATTCTTATGTATATATGTAGTGTTTAGTATATGTTTTATTTATTATACATTTTCGAAAAAAAAAATTAAGAGGAATTGATGAAATGAAATGCGTATTTTCATTTTCCATTTTTTCTATGTATAAGTTTACTTTTACAACAATGTAACATATTTTCCGTACTCATCACTGGTGTCGTAACTACTTTTGTCAATATACATATTGAAATAAATAAAAAAAGGAACGTAATCGCTGTAATCATTTTAAAGCAGAGAAAACTATAATAAACATACAATTCATTATTTTTACCAAAATAACAAGATTTGTTTTCATTATTATCAAATTATTACATCTAAAATGTGTCTACAACAACTGGTGAAATATTTATTTCCATATCACTCGATGAAATAAAAAACGTAATTACAGATAAAACTTCATATCCTCTTTTCATTATATTCTTGAATATCCTTAATGTAAATTCTGAAATATTGAAAAAAATATTTATTACATACAAATAAGTGGTTCCGTTTTATTTATTTTTCACTGCAAGCGAAATTATTTCCATATTGTCATTGGTGTCTTGTCGGATTACATCATTCTAAGACAGCCAGATCACATAATTATAGAGTAGTCAAAATTTTAATGCGGAACAAAAGAAAAATGTATACAATAATCAGAAAATTAAGTTATTTTTTCTATAAAAAATAATACAGGATTAATTTTCACATTGTGGCATAAACGTTCTGATATTTCACTCGTCGCGAAATATCTATTTTCATACGTCTAGTTTCAATAGATGAAAACAAATCTGTATTTATTGAAAAAATGAAAAGAACTCAAACATCACCTATTAAATCATGTTTTATCTTCTTTTTAGCGTTTTTAAAAACCATATGAAAATTCGGTCCTCTCTAAAAAAAAAATTATTTTTAATTCGTACCTATTACCATACATGTGTAATCTATTGTTCAAAAATATGTTTGTTAATTGACAAAAATAAAACAACAAAAATAAATAAATAAGCAAAGCATGATGAAATGAGGTTTGTCAGACAATCAATAAAATTATCGTTCAAATTCTAAAGTCCAGGTACTGTGTGATATCTAGTTGATTTCGTCTATCACGTCTGTTGTTTTGTGTTGTTTTTTTCCACATATCTTAAAACGAATATTGAAACAACATTAAATTGTTTTATGATACAAATTAGTTTTATCGTCATCATTTATTTTATTGATCACAAGCATTAAAATGAAATAAAAGAATACAGTTTGGAATTATAAAAGCCCTTTTGTCAATATTGTAAAATCAGATTCTGAAAAAATGTTCATGAAAATGTAAATGAGATAAATAGAAGAAAAAAGCTCTCATAAGAAATTTGTCATTGCTCATTTATTTCATTCATATAATATAATACAAATCTTCTACACATTTTCCCCTGTATGCTGGCATTTGCTTAAAGTATATTTTACCTATCCTTTCTTCAATGAAATGAATCGATAAAATGAACAGACCCTGTAACACAGTACGAGGAGCATTCAATATTTAGTGACGGGCCTCATTTTTCTCTAAGTATATTTCGTGAATCACGTGCAAAGTTACATTATGATACGCTTCAACTCTTTATCTTTCCAACGGTGTATCATACATGTATCCCAATTCACACACGTTTTAAGAAATTTAATGTTGAATATTCGATCAACTGTGTATAAAAATGGCTGGAGAAGATTCAGTAAATAATGTTGAAATTCGAGCTTACATCAAACCACGTATGACATTTGGGTTAAGTGGTGCAGCCATTCATAAAGAACTTTGTCGTATTTATGGATCATTTGTGGTTAGTGAAAGGACAGTTCAAAGATGGATTGTTAAGTTTAAAAGTGGTACGGAGTCACTAAACGATGCAAGTGCTAGGGGAAGAAAACACACAGTGGTCACCAAAAACAACATTAAAAAAGTGCAAGAACTCATAAACAAAGAAGCTCTGTATATTATTATAAAGGAGATTGCTTTGAAGGTTTTAAAAAAATACAAATGGTAGTTTCTTTAAAAGTTTTCATTTTACTATAGCCCCGACACTAATTATTGAATACTCCTCGTATAAAGGTGTTATAAAACTAAAACAGTAAGGAAATAGCCCCGCCTATTTATGATCAAACGCTTTGTTTTTAAAAAAAAATAATAAAAAATACCGATTTCTGCTCATTTTTCATTGCTCCTTTCAAAAGAAAGTAACCTTCTTTGTCTATTTGGGTGTCAATATAATCGATAATCGACGAAGAAGTGATGTGCAATGTTCATGTATATGGAACAATATATTGCATAAGAAGTCACTTATCAACCGCCATCCCTTAAAAATTTTCACAATACATTCTGGTTTTATATCAAATTCTTATAAAAACAAGATTGCATTTGAGAAAAATGCTATGCCACCGCATTAATACAACACTAACTAGTAGTGTAGGAACAGATTTTTTTTTGTACAAAAAAAACCTAGAGATTGCCTCTACTGTGGACTTTCAGTGATTCAAATGAAAAAATGTGAAGCTTTTTTGCAAAAAAAAAAT